CTGGGGTACAGGTAAGAGGTGTGGTGTTAAAGAGGATCCACCAGATAGTGGGGAGCAGAACAGGCAGATCTACTGAAACACACTGCTGAGGGAAGCACCAAGTGAAACTAAAGAGGATCTGTCATACCACATGGGTCACCTCCCAGGCTGGGAATTGAACTCATGCTGCAGATTGCTTCATAGTGCACATAACCCGTTGTGCCACCAGAGAGGCACCTTAATTAGTTTTTTCAAATTGATAATAAAGATGTCTTGAATCTGTGTGATAACTATCTGGAGGCTCATAAAATGTGCTCAGTTTTAGACACTTTTAAGTATAAAAACTTACAAAATATTAACATTGTTTAATTTACTTGTTCAATTCTGCCTCTTAAAAGAGAAATATTAATATTGGACAATTCAAATCAATAAATTCTCGACTCAAAACAGAATCACTTCATCTAACACTTTATACTGTATGTTTTAAAAGCAAATTAAAACTGTTGTCTGCCTTCTCTTTTATTCAGCCTCTCTTTAAATCTAGAGTCATATTAGAGAATATAATGTTGGTTCAACTTATTTAAGAACATTTACCAATATGTTGTGGTTATGGGGCCTAAGAATTGAAAAAGGCAAGCAATCACCTAAAGGAGACCTCATCTGTTTCAAACACATAACCTCCAAACTGTAGTGATATACAGAGATCATTAGTCCCTAAAAGATGTCTAGTATAGTTTGTTGATAACAAAATACTGATTTTTAACAAATCACTGCAAATAGAAAGGGAAATCTAAACTTTAAATAATCTAATACTTTACTTGTATAATATTATAGAAAATGGTAACAAGCACTTAAGGACTAACATTCCTAGGTTCCACTCTTTGTAAACTGAACTACTTCTCATTTCAGCACCTTTACATATTCCCAATGGAAATATGGACCAGCTTACAGAACAGCTGATTCAGAGAGGTCTTTTATCAAAGGAAATTTATGAAGAGATGATTGCCCTCACCACCTTTACTAAGTTTTCCTCCTTTAACTGAATTAACACAAAACGTATACTAAAAACTTTCTTGCACCCCATATGAGACTTTAATTTTATGAGGCAAGAAGCAAACTTTGTTTTATCATTATACTATGCAATGTCTGATACAAAGAAGCTAGTAAATACAGGATGAATTAACATATCCTAAAGGCTGACCTGGTTATGAGTTTGCTAAGACCGAAACATGAACAATACCAGAGGCTGGACTGAGGAGCTCAATCACTAGACTGGTGAAGGCAGTGACTTTAATCAACTGCAGAAACACTACTAAGTGAAAGATATAACTCACCTAATGGGAAAAAAATATTTGCAAGTCATGGTTACAATAAGGAACCTAAGATCTAGAATACATAAAAAAACACAAATCAACAATAAAAAGACAAACAGTACCATTTTCAAACGGAAAAGGATCTGAAGAGATATTTCTCCAAAGATCACATACAAATGTCCATTAAATACACAAAAATATACTCAACATTATTAGTGATGGGGGAAAAATTTTAAACCACAAAAATACCACTTCACACCCAATAATGTAAACAAACAAAACATTAACAAGTATTGGTAAAGATGTGGAGAAATTGCGATCTTCACCCATCATCGCAGGAATATAAAATGGTGCAGTCACAATGAAGTCTAGCACATTAAATAGAGGACTCCCATATGGCCTAGCAATTCTACTCCTATGTACTTCTCCCTTCGTCTCCAACAAAATGAAAACAAGTCCACACAAAAACCTGCATGTAAATGTTCACAGCAGTATTAATATTAATAGCCCAAAGTGGAAACAATCCAACTGTCTATCAACAGATAAAAGGATAAATTCACACAATGGATTATTTATTTGTTCATAAAAAGTAATTAAGTACTGGCTTTCCCTGGTGGCACAGCAGGTTGAAGCACAGCACTGAGAAGCTGGAGCCACTTCCACATGAGTTTGATCCCCACCTGTGGGGGGTGACCCACATGGTGCAGCAGACCTCTCCTGACCTGCCAGCTGCTCCCCTCAGCAGTGTACTTCGTGCATCTGCCTGTTCTGCTCCCTGCTGTCTCTGGTGAATCCTCTCACCACCCCTGCACCTCTGGCCTGTACCCCAGCTCTGTATACAAATAAATAAATCTTAAAAAAAAAAAAAGGAATGAAGTACTAATGTATTCTACAGCATAAACCTGGAGAAGTTACCCTCATTAAAAGAAATCAGTCACAAGAGTATATAATTTTACTATATAACACCTCAATAAAGCTGTTAACAAAACAAAATCATCAACTTTTATTTTCAGATATACTTTATTGTACATATTCGAAAAATTATACCTATTCTGGTCTTCATAAAGGTCTTAGGATATACCCCTCTGAGACTCAAAGTAGGAAAAAAGAGGGGAAATCATAACTGCATGATTACCACATCTGACATAATTTTAGCTACTCATTCTCATACTGTAAACAGTAATTTTTTCTTAATGTCACATTTCTGCCTATGTGTACTTCGAGACTAAAGGATGCCTACGTTAATACAAAATGTTTAACTAATTTTCCTTAGTTTATTTTCTGATTTCTTATAACCAAATCACAACAAACTTATTTTGCAGAAATGATATGAGACTAAAAGTTGTCACATGAAAAAAGCTAAAATGCCTGCCTGGTATTCACTATGCTGCAAGAAATGCATAATCCCAAAGTTGAGCAAAACTTCAGAAAGTGGGGAGGATATACGAGTATGCCCTGCAAAAGCAGTCGTAAGTCAAAGAAAGGATACCTTGAGTAGATTAAGCCAGACCCAGAGATATGCAGCCGCAGCAGAAGCACAGCATCACCATCATCACAGCAATCATCAACCAACATCCCTCTCCTACCTGCCAAAGCATTTATTTAGGCACTTTTGTTTTTTTCTAATTATGAGACATGTAAAGATATGGAAATATCCCCAAACCCAGCTAATAGCACATCTTATTATATCTTATTATACATTTTTTCTTTTAAATATAAGAAACAAAAGAACATATTGATTTTTGTTTCCCCTCTCCTTTACTGTAACCACTATCTTGGAATATGGTTATCCAAAACTATGCATGTTTTAACTATACCCTTCAGCATCTAAATAATATATTGTTTTGCATGTTCAAACTTTACAAATTGGAATACTGATCTGAACCTTATTTTCTTAGCTTAGCATTTTGCTTATTGTTATTTAAATTCAGTCATGTTGTCTTATATAGCTCTAGTTCATGTGTAAAAAACTACTGCACCATATCATATTGCATGCATATTCCAATATATTTATCCATGCTTTAACTAATAAAATGTTCAAAATGTTTCTTATTAGGAGGCTGCAACAGACATAATTCCTTGGGAACAGGTACTAGTTTCTAGGAATATTCCTAGGAGAAATACCGCTAGGTCAAATGATAAGTACCTTTTACTTCATTAGGAGTTGCAAGGCTGCTCTCCCTTTTACACCCCCCATAAAAGAGCTCCTGTTTTCTTCATCCTTGCCAATTCTTGGCATTGTTATCTTTTAATTTTGCAAACTGATGATTATAAAGTGCTACCTCATTGGTTTACTTTTTCCCTGATCAGTAAGCTTAAGTATCATTTATTGGCCTTTCAAGTTTCCTCTCATACAAAACGTCTTTAAACAGTACTGCTGTTTTCTATTGGTGACATTTTATTTTATTGATTTGTGTTAATTCCTAAGGCAATCTGTGTATCAATCTTTTATTGTTCATATACTTCTAAATGCTCTTTCCAATAAAAAGTATACATCTGTCACTGATTTTGAAATCTTATAAAACAAAGAAGGAAATTTCTGTCTTCTCAAAAGTTCATAGCTATTTTCCAGGACCTTTATATTTGTTTCTAAAATGTTTTGGCTACTCAAAAAAGGCTAATTCCTTATTGAGAGTCCAAATACACAATGAAAAAATGGGGCTTCAAATCAATTTGTAGGGATGACATTTTCTTAACCACAAACACACAAGGACAGTCTTCATTCTGTCCAGTCAATGCTACAAATCTGACTCCCTTGCCAATCATATAGATTTCCAATAGGTTAGTAAGCAAATATCGATTTTGATTAATAATATTTTGTTAAAACTTAACAACAAGCTCATAATCATATATGTTGACAAATCAGAATGCCTGAAAAAACAATGAGTAACCACCTCTGAATTAAAGTACAAATTCAGTTTAAGCAAATGAAAAAAATTTTATTTCACACTCACAATCAGTTCTTACAGAAAAAAAGGTGCTTTGCAGAGTGAAATAATCTTGGGTATTTTAGTGATGGCAGACTTCTCAAAAAGTTAACTTCATTTTCAGGAGCTCTACAGAATGTTTTGCATAAATAAAGACGCTGAATAGACGGGAAAGCATCTTAGATCATTTACTCTAACTCCCTCAATTTCAGGTGAGGAAACCGTAATCCAGAAATTAAGATACCTCCCCAACCACCCAGGTTCTCTGTAACTTACAAATTTAAGGCTCTTTCCATTACATCGCGCATCTTCTTTTTTAGCATTCCCATTCTAAAACTGATTCTGTAACAGGGTTGTCCCTTACCGAAATGATGTTAACTCCCAACCCCAAACCAATCTTTTCGTTTCCACGTCTCCCACCTCTACCCTCCCCCGTCCTCCATTATAATTTACAGAATGAAAATATGTGTCCGAATTTCTGGACCTACTTAGATGCGGAGTTCCGAGTCCCTTCCTGACAACTGTTTCCGTGCTCAATTGAAGGCTGTTTTGTTGTGTGTGTGTTTTTTTAAGTCCTTTATCCAATAACATCTAGTAGGCGCCGACTTTGCGGGAAGCGCAGTGCACGCTGTTCCTCCCCTGCCCACCAACCACGAAGCCAGGGAGCCGGAAAGCCGAGAGGCGAGGGAAGTGGGGCTTGGGAGGAGAGAAGAGGGGGGTCCCACAGACGTCGGGGAGCGGGCCCTGTGGCGGAAGCGGCCGAGAGGCGCCGACGACTCACCTTTCCGCAGCTCCCGCTCCCACACGGTGACGATGGGCCGCGAGTGCTTGCGGTGGTGGATGAGCCACAGGGACAAGGTCTGCACGCTCTGCTGCGAGTTGCTCAACTCCGACAGCTTCTTCTCCAGCGCCGCCTCAGAGAAGGCGGACATCCCTCCGACACCGCGATCTCGCCGTCCCACGCGGTGGAGCTGAGGGGAGGAGAGTTTCGCCGCCCTCGCCGGGGCCTCGCCCCCTCACCCCACCCTTCCCCACGCCCTCACCACCGCGGCCGCTACATCCGAAAGCGGCAGCAAACCAGCAAGATGGCTCCTGGCCGGCAGTGACGTCACGGTCGCCACACGCCCCACCCTCGGAAGAGGCGGGGCGAAAGGCGGGGCCTAGGAGGCGCAGGTACCCGGGGGGAAAGCCGCGCGGTGGAGCGGGGTGGGGAGTGCTGGCGGGGGCGGGCCAGAGGCGGTCTTAAACACCTGCAGGGGAAAAAATAATTTCTGCTGAGAAAAGAGACATTACAAATCTCTAAGAATGTCAACTGGGGTAGTCTTTTTTTGAAGATTATTTGGCAGTATATATTTCGTTTTTAAATACATCTTCTTTAACTGTGCCTATTCACTAATCACTAATCATACCAAAGAAACAATCAGAATCTTTGCTCAAGGAGCTCTATACTCTTTGTATAATGTTAGTTCCATCCAGAGCAGCTGCTGAAATATTAGGAGATTCACAGCAGGTAAATGATTAATTTAATTGTCATACATCCTTGGTTTAGGATCTATGTAGCACTTTAAAAGTTTAGAAAGTCCAAATTATAGTGGGTTTGGGTTTTTATAAGTTGTAGAAGCAAAAATATAATATAGCATTTGTTGTTTTTTTTTTAACTATATTTTATGTGAGTTATTAACTATGTAACTGTATGGTAAAAGAGCTATAGCAATGTGCCCTCCCTGGTGGCACAAAGGGTTAAGTTGCAGCTCTATGAAGCTGTTCTCAACCACTGCAGCTTGAGTTCCATCCCAGGCCAAGAAGGTGACCCACAGGGCACAGCAGACTTCTGTCTAGTCTACTGCTCCCCTCAGCAGTGTATTTCAGTAGGGTCTGCCTGTTCTTCTCCCTACTCTGGCTCTGGTGAATCCTCTCAATGCTGGCACCTCTGGCTGGTGCCCCAGTTCTTGTATGCATAAATAAATATTTAAAAATAAATAAATAAAATTAATTTTAGAATCATCACAATTAATCCAGCACATTTTCACATTGTACTTGTCTTAAGGATAGTTCACAAAGGAAACAAAAGGGTTAATCTGAATATTAATAGAAGACACTTCAAGAGGATATATGAGAAACCACAGGAATTCCTAAACCACCTTTTAAAAAAAAGATTTATTTGTTTATACATAGAGAACTGGAGTACAAGTCAGAGGTGCAGTAGTGAGAGGACTTACCAGAGCGGGGATCAGAGAGGCAGGTGATGAAGTACACTGCTGAGGGGAGCAGCGGGCGGGTCAGGAGAGGTCTTCCATACCATGTGCGTCAGCTCCCTGACTGGGGATTGAACTTAGGCTGCAGTGCCTACAATAGCTTCATAGTGCTGTGCCCCAACCCATTGGGCCACCAGGAAGGGCCCCCTAACCCACCTTTTGAGAAACAGTCTTCAAGGACTTTGCACTAAGTAGCACAAATAATATTTGTTTTCCCTCTTTTTTTTTTTTTGAAGATTTATTTATTTATTTGTGCATACAGAACTGGGGTACAGGCCAGAGGCTCAGGGGCGGTGAGAGGCTTCACCAGAGACAGAGTGGGGAGCAGAACAGGCAGATCTACGAAGTACACTGCTGAGGGAAGCAGCGGGCGGGCGGGAATCGAACTCATGAGGAAGTGGCTTCAGATTCTCAGTGCTGTGCTTTAACCCGCTGCGCCACCAGGGAGGGCCTTCCCTCTTTTTTAATATTACTAGTGCTTGAGGTTCAGAGACACTGAAAGAGGTGAGCTACTCTCTTCTCACGCTGTCTCTGGTGAGTCCTCTCACTCCCACACCTCTGGCCTATACCTCAGTTTTTATATGTATAAGTAAATAAATATTCGGAAAAAAGTTATACATCCATAAGGACATAAATAATTACGGTCAATATTTTGAAACTGCAACATTATGTAACAATGTCAGTAATACAGATCTAACAGCCTGGTATGGAAAACCACCATACACTCGTGTACAGAATGCAATATTTTCCTGTCTCTACATTTCTCTCTTTCCCCACTGTACTTCTTTTGTTTGGGCACTCTTTTGGGTCTAGTTTTTAACCTTACCCTAATCCAAGTTTAACCCATCCATCTTCCAATTACTAAGACAGAGAGACACCGTAGGTAAAAGGTACTGCCAAATGGTGGGAATAATCATCCCAAATTCTGTTAAAACAGGTGGACAAAATCATGGACTGAAGAGTCCTGTCCACAGTATTTGATCCACCACACTGACCATGAGGCTACATGGTGGACAAACAGCCACAGACCCTCACAAATATCCAATGAGAAGGCCAAGAGCCAGCATGTCTGATGGGAATGCAGCACATTTGCCCATGACTGGGTATAGGCCGATTCTCCACAGGGCTTCATGGACCTGCCCTTTAAATATTTCCTCCCAACTCCCTTCAAGGAGCCAGGCTAAATTCTCCTTCAACCATAAGTCTTTATTGAAGCCTTGCTTGTTTCAACTATACCTAGCACACTGTGGTGAATTCTCTCCCTAAAGGGCAAAGGACACATTCTTTTGGGTTGGGATCTGAAGCAAGAGTTATCTCAACATTATTTTCTCCTATTTACTACTTATAATCTCTCAAATTATCACCTAGAATTCCAAATCTTCCCACTCCTTCTCTACTTAATCAATTCTGCCTACACTTTAAAGACCACCTTAAATTTCACCTACATTTTCCCACTAACCAGTTGAAAGCAAGGTTTTCCTTTACTTATTTCAGTACAAAATTTGAATGTCATTGTGTGAATGTGTATTTTTTCTTACCCCCCTCTCCAACTAGGTTTTAGGTTTTACTCTCAGTGAGACTGAGCCAAAGCACCAGCCTTCAATATTCTTTGGTCTTTGGTTTGATTTGATTGCTTTTGCTCTGAACTTCCATTGTATTCTGTACACGAGTATATGGTGGCTTGCCATTCCAGGCTGTCAGATCTGTATTACTGACATTGTCATATAGTGTTGTATTTTCAAAATATTGACTATAATTATTTTTGTCCTTATAGTTGTATAACTTTTTTCTTTTCTTTTTTGAAAAGATTTGTTTACTTATGCACATAAGAACTGGGGTACAGGCCAGAGATATAGGGGTGAGAGGATTCACCAGAGACAGAGTGGGAGCAGAAAAGGCAGATCCACTGAAATACACTGCTGAGGGGAGCAGCAGACAAGAGAAGTCTGCTGCACCATGTTAGTAGCTCCACGGTCAGGGATCAAACTCTTGCTGCAGTATCTGCAGATAGCTTCACAGTGCTGCGTCTTAATCCCTTCCACTATCAATTTTCATATCTAGAGTCCTATGAATATATTTCTCTCTTTTTTAAAAGATTTATTTTTTTGGCCCTCCCTGGTGGCGCTGTGGGTTAAAGCACTGCACTAATAAGCTAAAGCCACTTCCGCATGAGTTCGATTCCCACCTGTCCCGGAGGTGACATGGCGTGGCAGACCTCTCCTGACTGCTCCCCTCAGCAGTGTACTTCGTCAATCTGCCTGTTCTGCCCCCCACTCTGTCTCTGGTGAAGCCTCTCACCCACCCTGAGCCTCTGGCCTGTACCCCAGTTCTGTATGTACAAATAAATAAATCTTTAAAAACAAGAAGATTTATTTTTTAAATTTATTTATGCATACAAGAACTGGGATACCAACAAAGGGTGCGGCCTGGGGGGCTGAGAGGATTCACCAGAGACAGGATGGGGAGCATAAGCAGGTCAACTGAAATACACTCTGAGGGGAGCATCGGGCAAGACAGGAGAGGCCTACTGTACCATGTAAGTCAGCTCCCTGACTGGGGATCAAACTGCTGCCTGCTGCAGTGGCTTCCAATAGCTTCATAGCACTGAGACTTTAACCCCTGCCCCACCAGGGAGGCCCTGAATATATTTCATTATTTCTTTTCAAATATAGTTCTCAAATTTAGAATAACACATTTTTCCCATAAAATAATTTTTACTTTCTTATAATGGCCATGAAGTAGCAAAAAGATGTGCTCCTTCAATTAAAAAAAAAAAAAAAGAGGGCTATTACAAGAAAAGACTTTAGAGTAATTTTGCTTATGGTTATGAATGTGCAAATCTTTTCACAAAATGCTGGTGAACAAAATCCAGCCTACACCATGAGCAAGGATAGTTCAAATACAAAAATCAATCAGTTGAATGAAGAGGCCAAAAACATGATTATCTAATCTCAACTTGCCCCCCCCAAAAAAAGCATTTGACAAGATCTAACACACTTTCATAGTTTAAAACTTTTTAAAGCCTCATCAAAGAAGGAATAGAAAAAAAAATTCTCACCATAATAAGAACATGTATAGAAAAACCCGCAGTTAAATTAACATTATACTCAGTGGTAAAATACTGTAAGTTTTGCCCCAAGGTCAAAAACAAAAAAAATAATAAATTATTTTGTCACTTTTACTCAATATTATGCTAGGTAAGTTCTAGACATAACAATTAGTCAAAAAATAGAAATATAAGATTTCCAATTTTAAAAGGCGGTAAAGGACCTCCTTGGTGTGCAAGGGGTTAAGCTGCAGCACTGTGAAGCTATCCACAGCCACTGCAGCACCAGTTTCAGTTGGATCCCCAGCCAGGGAGCTACCCAAGTAGCTAAGTAGAGCTCTCCTGTCTTACCCACTGCTCCTCTCAGCAGTGTATCTCAGCCAATCTGTCTGTTCTCCCCACTCTGTCTCTGGTGAATCTTCTCACCTCCTGTACCTCTGACCTGTACCCCAGTTCTTGTTTGCATAAATAAATAAATCTTTAAAAATCAATTAAAAACGGCCCTCCCTGGTGGCGCAGCCGGTTAAAGCACAAGCACTAAGAAGCTAAAGCCACTTCCGCATGAATTCGATTCCCGCCTGCCCCGGAGGTGACCACATGGCGTGGCAGACCTCTCCTGACCCGCCCCCTGCTCCCCTCAGCAGTGTACTTTGTTGATCTGCCT